TTGAACCTGTGTCTCCTGAAGGAAAGCCTAGCGTTTTTAACTGTTGGCCAGCCCCTCTTCTAGTTGTTATAAACAAATTCATTCTTAATATCTTATACCCAGTGTGGGTTCTGGGACCCCATTGTGGGGAAAACAAGAACAGACCCACTGCCTTCTCAGAGAAGAGCACCCTATATTTTTACAGACCAATCGGTACTAGTTAGGTAATGTGGTCAACTTTACGCCGGCCGTCTTTACTTTACCAAGACATCCATCCTTTTTAGGATGGGTCGACCTGCGACGCCCCTTACCGTGGTAAAAATCCACGCAGTCAGTCAGCAGTGGGTTTCGATGGATATAGAATGAAATTAAAAATGGAAAACAATATTTTCTCCCTGTGAAATTAAATAATGCGGACATAAATAGTGCACTGCACAATTTATTGCCTGATTGTATCACGTCAGGCGCAGTAGTGCACCAGCTTATTTATCTACATATAATGACGCACACAATGCATGTATCCGTTCATGATTCAGATAATGTAAACACACACAGAACACTATCTCTATCTAGAGAGCCCTAAACGCAACTACAGTGGTTCTACATAAGCTAACGCGCAAGAACAAAAATCCCAATATTTCATCAACAAGATTTCCATTTCTCTAACTTACCAGAAAGAAAGCAAAATCCTGGGCTATTCGAAGAGTATCCACGTGTAAGAATGTCCAGCACACCTGTCACTAGTCCAGCTAACTGTCTTCACGTTTGACCAGATGTTCGAGCGTTGTCACTTCTCGGTTAGACCCCTAAACGAAACAAATCACACAGCAATCCCTCTGCGTGTGTCACATTCCTGTACACAATTGAAAAGAATCCCTTCACCGAGAACAAAGGCGAAGATTTTGGAAGACGACGACACGAGAAATCCAGTAAAACTTCATTGTTGACACTTCACATACGGAAATGAAACAAACATTCGCTGCTTATATTACTGTCTGTTTCATGACCTATTTCAGACATCGGGGACAAGGCGAGTGTGTTCTGTTCGTGTACTGTTCTGTTGCCTTCAGTGCTGGGGTTGATTCGTCGCCACCACCTTTACACGGGCGAGGGTGGCGAAAAATGAACCTTGCACTTGATCCGGGGCGGGCAGAGCTTGCGTGGAGCTCGTCTATTGATCACATCTGGTCTTTCGCGACCACTGACCTATTTATTCTGGTGTGTAGAAGAGAAGTAACCCATGATATTTGCGCCAACAATAAATTTCTTGGAGGTTATTCTTCTTCTTCTCAGCGTACACCTGCTGTAAACCCCGGCGAAATGTTCTGATAGTTCGTCCTCATCTGGCTTAATTATCTGCAGGTTGTTGGTTCCTTGTCTCTCAGGCAGATGCATTCCGACTTCCAAGTAACTACCCCCTCCCACCGGTCAATCAGTTACATTTTACAAAGCGTTTACTTGGAGGGCAGTAGTTTTGCCCCCCCCCCCCCTCCCCTCCTTCCCGGATCATCATCGTCACAACCACTTGTACTGTTAAATAAACTAAGAGGGGTAACCTTTGAGGCCGTTAAATATTATGAATTAATCAGGTAACAGAAAGTGTATTGATCGGCACTCTTTCTTCTATCTTTCTACTTCTTTCTATGAGTGCCGATCAATATACTTTCTGTTACTTGTACTGTTAAGCGACGGGGGAGGACTAATTTGCGAGCCAGTGCACGTTGGCTGCCACTGGCTATTGTCATTTCGTGAAGTGTCTTTAATGTAGTCGATCCATTTTTCGCGCGCGTCCTCTTGATCTTAATGCTGATCTTCTGAGATATAGTGCTTGTAATGGTATTTGATCTAACGAGATGGCCAAACCACTTGATCTGTTGTTTTTCGATGAATCTAGTGCAAGGTGTCATTCCCGCAATTTGTCTGATAGTTTTATTATCCACTCGATCTAGGATGGTTAGGTTGGCAGCCTTACTCAGGCATCTCATCTCGCAGGTGGTGATTTTGCGTATATGGGCTTTAAATAGAGTCCATGTTTGGCACTGGTTGCTTAATTTTTGAATGATTATGCTGGTTATAATCTGTCTCTTTTCACTTATAGTTATGTTTGGATGTCTTAATAATGGTGACAATTGGTGTATAAGTGTCTGGGCTGTCAGGTACTAGAAGTATCTCTGGCAAAGTGACCGTCATATCCTTCTTAGGGCAGTTCATCACCATTGGGCTAGGTCTGGAACTCAGCTCTCTCCTGTGGCTCCCAGCAGCTGTCAGCAAGCGGCAGCGGGGCCCCCCCCCCCCCACCCCTGGGCATCAGCTTTGACGGGCCGGCTAAACCAGGAGAAGGTAGCCGACCTGGTTCTAAACCACTCGGTGATTGGGATATGCCTACCCTGCAAAGACTGGACTCGGCGGATTAAACTACTGGTTCAACGGACAAGAAGGCGTATACCAGCAGGCTCGGAGGACAGCTTCGAACAAGGCAGGGCACTTAAGATGCCTTGGTCATCCACTGCACCTAGGTCCATTTCCAGTCGTCTCGACATTGTCCTGTCATTGGATCAAGATGGACACACGCAGAAGATCGAGTTCGACAAATTGCGCAACTATTCCTTACTTAAATCCAAGTCCATGCGCAAGTTACTGTCATCCAGCTGTACATTACCGTACTGATAGCAGCTTGTTTAATCTGAGGAGACTTCGAGCTAAAACAAGAACTAGAATAACTACAATTAGAGACCTTTTATTTGCTAACGAATTTGCTAAACTCCAGTTATGAGGCCAGTATGCAGCACACCATCAATAGGTTTTCTGAAGCCTGTACGAAATTCGGACTAACTATCATCATCATCAGGTACCTTGCATATTGGCATGGGCGATCATGCCTCTCCATAATCTGCGATCTCCTGCAGCATGTATCAGTTCGTGTGCCGACACACCTCCATGCCATGCAACAAGACTGTCAAGCATCTTCTATCGTTGTCTTCCTTTATCCCTCCTTCCACAGATCTTTCCAGTGGTCACAACATGTTCTATTTTCCCTCTTCTCATAACATGGCCGAAAAATGATGACTGTCTCCTTCTGATGTCTGTGATAAGTTGTCTTCGGGCTTCCACCTCTTTCAAAACCTCTTGGTTGCTCTTTTTGACTGTCCAAGGTATTCTAAGCATTCTTCTGTAAAATCGAATCTCTAAGGCCTCCGAAAATTGTTTGGCCTGCCTACCGATTGTCCAGAATTCACAGCCATATGTTAAAACTGGATGTATGTAGCAAGCAAGAATTCTGTTTCTAACTCTCAATGACAAGGATATATTGCACAAGATGTTTTGGACTAACTATAAACACTGATAAAATTGTTATTTGTCAACCGGCTGCCAGAAAGAAAAAAAAATACTGTGATCCCACTATCACCGTAAATGACAGTCGACAGATTCACTTATCGTGGCAGTACCCTATCTCAGAGAGTCAACATCGACGATGAGATCAATCATTATTAGAATCTTAAAGGCCAGCAGTGTATCGTATAAAATCAAACAAAAATTCCAAGCTTGGTCCTTTTTTAGCCGCCTGATGGCCTGCTTTTTCAAGGACGGTTCATTTGCTATCTTATTTATTTATCTTCCTTTGTGGTGAGCAATTACACCTGAATTTGTTCATTTGTTGCCTAAGTTCTGGTTCTGATGGGTCCTGGTTCCTGTTTAGTTGGCTATCCGCTAGCTGTTGCACTTTCATCTGTGTTAGTACCAAGTCAGTCCTCAGCCACATCACCGCGAAACAAACACTTCCGCAGACTGGGCGACCAAAAACAAGGCCCCCCAACAGGACGACTGTCACAAGCTTGTTGTGCGCAGCCGTTAAATATATGTAGAGGAGGTAACAAAGGTTTGCAAAAAAAAAAATTAGAACGCCCGAAGGTGCAAAGATATTTTATAGTTAGGTCGGAAGATGGAGAGAGACAGATAGCTTGCTAGGCTGAGAAAGAGGTCCTTGGTGAGTTGAGCCCTGTGCACTGCCTGCTCCGATTTGAAAATAGACTGATTTACATTTTAGATATATGTGGGGAGGGGCGGGTGAGGTTATCAGAGAAGTTCAATTCCAGATCTCATGAGAAGTGAGGAACCAACAGTTTGCATTCAAGATCTGTAAAATGCATTTGCAAAATTCAAGTTCTAGGTGACCCTAGTTCTTTTCTCCCTGTTAGCTACCTTTTGTGAGTCACCAAGATAAGACTGCAAAGACCCATGTTCTGAAGTGGACAAACAACCAGTACTTTCTGCTAGAGTCTACAGCTGTGAATACTATAAAGAATAAAATACTGGATGGGAACATCCAGGAAAAGAAAGAAAACGGGTGCTAAGAAACAATTACATTATTTAGACATGAAGGATATTGAGGTCTAGATGTACTTCGAGCTGAAGGGAACAGCCTAGGACATGGTTAGTGGACTCAGACAATCAGTACACTTCAGCAAACGTATCAGGACTTATCTTGCTGATGACAGAAGAGATCTGGAATTGAACTTATTTGCAATGATTCTCTCTTTTTATGTAAACAGTCATTTCTACTGTTTCTGCTGAATTTCATCATTACTAATTCTACTTATTCTTGTCACCATATCTCATTTATGTATTCAACTGCAGCAAATTTCAGAACTTGATAGTTATTGAGGTAATTTCAGCAAAACACACTATGTGATTTATTCACCAATACATTATATTCAAAGCAGAGCACACAAGATCACAAAGAAGACATAAACATTAATTATGAAAAGTTGAAACTGATATTCAGAGAGACTGAGTGCGTAGGAGAACAAAAGAAAAGATACAGGCATCCATAAAGAGTATGGAGGTTTGAGATTGGAAAAAAAAAGATGGACATGCGAAAACATAAAGAAACTGGAATCAATTTTAAGTGAAATCAACAACTCTACAAAACAATTTAAAATGTATGTAACAATTTTATTCCCTGACAAAGTCTGTCAAGACGCCCTTAGCTCAGGCCAACATCTGCCGTGCTTGATCCTGGCTCAAGCCAACATTTGAAACAGCTGCCGTGCTCGATCTTCCCTTTCAGCATTTACTGTGGAATAAATTAGAGCAATATTATAAATTTTGAAAAGCATTCACTAATCTTTAATCGAGTACTGTTATAATCCTAAAAGTATGATGAAGTATCAGCATTCAGGCCATATCACCTCGAAAAGGGACTACATCTGTGGGATTGTAGTTAGTGCACAAAATATTATTCTATGTACCAAAAAACTACCTTCATGGAAATTATACCGCGCAGTCCTCCCTAAATTCTCCAAACCAAAATAAAACAATGGGAGTGTAAGTTATTATCCAGGATGTCATTTTTTTCTGGATAAAACAGGGTTAAAAAAGATTTAAAATCACATAGACATAACTAATATGAGTAGGGCATGGAAGGAGTTGCAGGAGGCGGAAAAGGTTATGAATGCCTGGCATGAGGTAGTTCAGGACCAACAATTTAAATGGAGATTGTTCTTACAGGAACATTGTAATTACAATGGGTTTGACCAAACAACAGCACTATGCCGGAAGCCAAAGAACAATAGGGAATTAACAAAGAACTGGTGCCGTGAGCTGCTACACGTTGTGGGATTGAATACAGCTAACAAAGAGTCCCCAACTGATGGGGAGCCACTTGCAACACGATCAAGTTTGCTTGTTTTTTCATTGTGGTTAGGAAATCGTTCTGCCTACCCCTAGGTAAAATCTATTCTCTCTAAAAATGGATGTTCTGTCTGTTTTGTTGCGCTGCTCATTTGATCTCAGAGAGCTTTATCATAAAGTAGCTCACCGCCCAGAAGCATGACAGAAGATGGTCAATCAGCCTGAATGTAGTTTGTGAAAAGAATTCCCCATTGTGGGGTTCCAGAGCCCGATTAAAGGGAAAACAAGAACAGACTAACTGCCTACACAAAAGCATATCGTAAGAGTCGACTAATTGGGAATTTCTTTTGAAGTCAGAGTGCATCTGCCTGAGAGGCAATGAACCAACAGTCTGTGTACAAATTAGTCAGATCTGTCAAATGGATGCATACGCAACACTCAGGTTCTGGAACAGGACTGCAGTCCAGAAGTGGACGAACAACCAGAACTTTCCGCCAGAGTTTACAGCCGGTGAACGCGAAGATGAAGAATGACGATGGAGAAGTTAGCAAGGTAAAGATGCAGCAGAAGTTCGAGAGATGTGGGACAGTTTGACACAGCATGAAAGATCATTTGTGCCAGCATTGCTTGAAGTTACACGAGGTTTAAGAATATCTTCCTCAGACTGGGAGAGGAAGAAATGCTTATCATGAGGTTTAAGAATATCTTCCTCAGACTGGGAGAGGAAGAAATGCTTATCATGAGGTTTAAGAATATCTTCCTCAGACTGGGAGAGGAAGAAATGCTTATCATGAGGTTTAAGAATATCTTCCTCAGACTGGGAGAGGAAGAAATGCTTATCATGAGGTTTAAGAATATCTTCCTCAGACTGGGAGAGGAAGAAATGCTTATCATGAGGTTTAAGAATATCTTCCTCAGACGGGGAGAGGAAGAAATGCTTATCATGAGGTTTAAGAATATCTTCCTCAGACGGGGAGAGGAAGAAATGCTTATCATGAGGTTTAAGAATATCTTCCTCAAACTGGTAGAGGAAGAAATGCTTTCCATGAGGTTTAAGAATATCTTCCTTCATTCTGTTTGGCCTCTCTGCCAGTGATTCTCAGAGGAGAAGGCCAAGGGGGGCTATGAAGATTGTGGTTGAACACATGTCCTTCACTGTCCAAACAACCTGGTTTCTACCAGAATGCCAGACCTGTGATCTTTCAGCTGTTTTAAAAAATATGAAATGCACATACAAGGTCTCATATTACCTTCTTTTTCGCCACTATCAAGGATCTTTTTTGCATCTGCCATGGTCTTCTCTCTTCCCTTTCCCTGAAGGCCATCTAAATACAGCAGCAAAATCTGGAAATCTTCATTTGACATCTGAAACAGTAAGAGCATGACATGGGTTAAATTTTGGTAATTTAACTAACTCTTCCATCTCCATCTGTGACAGCACAATAATAAAATACCCGTCATTTTGTTCTTCTCATATGTCCCTCCTTGGTGGACCCACTCCTAATTCTATGTTCACATAACATGCTATTTCATCTCATCTTCGGTCTTAAAATTTAAAAGTCATGATTAGCATGTGAAACATCAATGTGTAATGTGTGACTGGCCATTATTTTTAACTTCTTTAGTCAATATCTGCAAATGTGTTGCAGTTTAAGTGATAACATGTCGCCAAGTCACAACATGCTCTGAAGTCTTAGGTTGCCAGTGACTTTTTCAATCCATATTTTGTCTAGGTCCCCAATGTATTTCCATTTTCCTGTGTGTAAGCTCTTGCTGCCGGTATCATTGGATTCATTCTCACAAAGTGCCCAGACAACTCTAGACTGTTTCTCAATGAATTTCTTTATGGGGATTATTCTAACAGTTTTAATCTCTTCGTTTCTGACAGGATCTGTTTTTAATGTTTTGTTTGCAGCCTTTCTCAAACATCTCATTTCACAGACAGTTAGTGGCTATTCCTTGCGTGCCTCAAACATCATGTTAAATGTCTTCTTAGATTTGATATTTTGTTAGCACATATTTTACAAATCCGGCAAACTTGGGGGATATATTCCATTATTATATTCCTACACAATAAAGCAGTACTTAGCTTTCACCGGATCATTTAATAATAATACAGGAGATATTTATGAGAATCTTCCAGATAGCTGTTAGACTCTTAAGAAATGCAATTTTAGGACTGGATTTACCATAACTTTTTATCCCCAATCAGTCAGTGCCGTCCATGGCTTACAGACAAAAGTAAATCCTCAGTTATTTAGATCATGTACTTTGACAGAAACAGCTAAAGACACACTGTCAAAATTGACTGTAACTTCTCTACCAGTGTCTTTTATCTGAAGCACTGGTGTTCAGGTCTCCTGAGTTATGAAATAAACCTGAATTTATCAAATGGAGACTTCTCTTCTGAGGTGCTGTCTGCAATGAAACTTTTGCAGACCTCTCCTTGTCCCCAAGTGTTATTATGCTGTGCAAGATCAGTGCTAGAAAATCACATGATGGGTTGGTAATTTCCCATCTGTCATTAGGGAAGACCAGTATGTTTAACTCTTCTGCCTCAAGAAGCAGCAAAACCAACACTTCCAACTGGGTCTAAATCCCCATAAATGTCAGTTTTCTAATTTGTCTATAGTGATGCATAGTTAATTATATTGGATGTTTTCACACCTGTGCTAACATCCAGGAGGTCAACACATGAACACATTAACCAAAAATTACATTGGGAGAAGGACCATTCAATCCAAACAGCTTGATTAAAGCCAAGTATATGTCGAATTTTCCCTTAACTCTCAGTGATAGAGGTTACGACATGAGTCACCCGACAGATTTGTTTTAAGGCCCCTCGGAATGAAACTTCATTGTTTCACCCTATTTGAGTTCACTGGCTACTTCTTTCATATATTCTAAAAACAAAATTAAAAAATACATATAAATAAATTTTAACAGTATTAACTAGAGGCCTGAGTAAATTTCTTGTGTTCCGGGGTCGAGGCGGCTAAAGGTGAAACTGGGCTAGTAGGGACATTCCCCAATTATTTATAGGTGTTTATTTGGCAGTTCTGTAGCTGACCTTTGACTGCGCCCATGTTATAATTTTACCTAAGTGTGTGATTCCCTTCGACAGTTCCTCTCCTCCTGTTATATCAGGCACAAATAGTTTCGCCATATAACAAGACTGGTATCAGACAGGGCCCCACAGAGAGCAATGTTATACAGATACAACAGCAACAGGGTCAAAAGTTGACCATGCAGAAGATGGACTACAGCAATAGGAGAGACAGTGAAAAGTACTTTTCATGAAGCGAACAGAAGGGCATGTTCCAGATATCTCTTCCTGTCCTGAGGCGGCAAAGCATTTCAGGAGTAGAGAAAAGTAGCAGAATGTGAATTTAACAACATATTCTATTGACTTTATCTGACTGGCCTTGCCTCTGCTTCCATAAACTGTGCCTTAAATATTTTATTTAAACCTTGCTGTGACATCTAATACAGTTTAATGTTTTAAACATAAAAACTATTTCACTTTTGGATATATGCAACTGTTTATATCAGTTCTCTTTGATGTACAAATGTCACAGAATATCAGTATCTTCTATCATCCAATCCACTTTTACTTTACCACTTTCTAAACCACTGTATCATGTAATATTTCAGTCTGTGATACCCAAGACTAAATCTTCTTACATTTTTTCACATTCACCAGCTGTAAACTCCAGCAGGAGGTTCTGGTTGCACATCCACTTCTGGACTTTGGTCCTATTTCAGAACTTGAGTTTTGTGTGCACATCCATTTATCTAATCTGGCTAATCTGTATGCAGAATGTTGGTCCCACCACCCCCCAGGCAGATGCACCCCTACTTCAGAGAAAACCCCCATGTAGTTGACACTTATGATGTGCTAGTTAGCTAGGCATGGGTCTATTCGTTTGTTCCCTTACAATAGGGCCGTGGAACCCACATGTTGATTGCTGCATATGACCCAGTTCTCTTTGATGTTCAGATCTTACAGAATATCAGTATCCTTCATTTTCTATTAGGACTTCCAAACTGAAATGTTCAGTTTCCTAGAAAGTGTCTCAACCTTTCTGTGTTATCTGAAGGGAAAGACTCAGTCAAAGGAAATATAACGAGGTGCAATGAAATCGAGCCTCTTGCAGTAATAACAAATTTTGCAACTAGTCCCATGTGAAGACAGGTATTCTCTGTGCAAAGTCGCAAGCATCACTCCAGAGGTTTCGGGTAGTCAGTACCTAACAACTTGAAGAAGCACATGGTATGTTGAGTTGTATTCACAGCTTGTCTGCAATATAAGCGCACTTTGGCCCAACAAACATTTTCAATAAAGCCTCTGTCCCCGAGAATGGGGCCCCTAGGAAATTATCAGATATTGTTATCATAGGATAAACTTACCCTGGATGTATCATACATCATGTGCAGCAGGTCAATCTGCATCCTTTTGTTGAACTTCCATGCGCTTCTGCTCGACTGCCACAGACGAAGATATTGTAAGGCCTTGTCATTTCTGGTCACATTATTTCCTTCCTTTGATGGCGTAGATGCATCTTTCTTTTCTTTCTGTTTCTTTTTTTTCTTAGCAGCTTGTTTACTTTCATTTTGTTCTTCATGTGGTACTTCTTCAGTCTTCTTTTCTTTATGTTTCTTCTTTTTCTTCTCTGCATGCTGCTCACTTTCATCCCCATTTGTTTCATCTAATTCTTCAGTGTTCTTGTTTTTATGTTTGTTCTTCTTTGCAGGCTGCTCACTTTCATTTAGTTCTTCAGCTGATACTAATTCTGCCTTCTTATCTTTATGCTTCTTTTTCTTAGTAGACTGTTCCTTTTCATTCTCATCATTAAGCTGTTCTGATGTTGCAATGTGAGCTTCTATGTCTTTATGTTTCCTTTTTTTTCTAGGCTCTTCACTTTCATTCTTGTCTACTGCTTCTAAATCTTGATCCTTCGATTTCTTATGCTTCTTTTTCTTGGTGGATTGTTCACTTTCACTTCTGATGACATCTTGTAATAAATCATCTGTCAATTTTGTATGCTTCTTTTTCTTAGAAGGCACTTCAGTTTCTTCATCTGGTTCTTTGAATGAAACAGTTCTAGTCTTTTGACTGTGTTTCGTTTTCTTCTTAACTGGCTCGTCATCATCACAATTTGAATTCATAACTTTCATTTTCACTTGGAAATTGATTTCTGCTTGCTGTAAAATATCCATATCAACTACACCCAGTGTTGATGTTTTATTCTTCTTATCTTTTTTATTCTTCCTTGCTGGTTGCAACTCAACAGTTTCAGAGGTGAAATTCGTTACTTCATTCTCTGGTAAGGTGCCATTAGATTCTTTCTTTCGCTTTTTGGATCCTGTCTCCACAATATTTTCTTTACAAGTATCTGATGCATCTAAGGAAGCATCAAGTTCTGAATTTCGTTTGCGTTTTTTACTTTTCCTTTTAGATGTGCTAATATCCACTGCATTATCTGCATCAGCAGGCTCCTCATGTGACTTCTTATCTTTTTTACTCATCTTTTTACAGTCTATTCTAGTAGTATTTCTGATTGGTTCAAATTGTTTGTAAAATGAAAACTGTCTGATATTTGAAATGCACTTTAATGTAGCAATAATTATTGGAATGCTACAAGAAACAATATATTCTAATATTGCACATGTGTGTGACTGGGCCACACACAAAGTTAAAACCTCCACATATTCCAGTGATGTATCAGACCTGTAACAAATATACACTGATATTAGTTCCATTACTACTATATACAGTGACATTAAACAAACTGCATGCAGTAAAATAATGACTAAAATAATTATTATATTCTAAACTGTTCCTTTCAAATTGACACTTCAGCTTCAGGAATTTTCATATATATATATATATATATATATATATATTTATGTGTGTGTGATATGGTTTACAGAAGAATTCTCAAGAAGTTCTTGTGCAGCTAAAAAGAGCAACTGGTTGTTATGAAAAAGGCAAGGGCTCGAAGACAACTGAAGAAAGAGACAGTAAACATTTTTCTATCATGTTATTAGAAGGAAACTGGAAAGATCTGATGGAAAACAGACAACGCGAGAATATTCTCAACAGTATTATGTCATGACATGGAGGGATGTCATCATATGATCTGATGGAAAACAGACAACGCGAGAATATTCTCAACAGTATTGTGTCATGACATGGAGGGATGTCATTATATGATCTGATAGAAAACAGACAACGCGAGAAGATTCTCAACAGTTTTGTGTCATGACATAGAGGGATGTCATTATATGATCTGATGGAAAACAGACAACGCGAGAAGATTCTCAACAGTATTGTGTCATGACATGGAGGGTTGTCATCATATGATCTGATGGAAAACAGACAACGCGAGAAGATTCTCAACAGTATTGTGTCATGACATGGAGGGATGTCATCATATGATCTGATGGAAAACAGACAACACGAGAAAGATTCTCAACAGTATTGTGTCATGACATGGAGGGATGTCATCATATGATCTGATGGAAAACAGACAACGCGAGAAAGATTCTCAACAGTATTATGTCATGACATGGAGGGATGTCATCATATGATCTGATGGAAAACAGACAAAGCGAGAAAGATTCTCAACAGTATTATGTCATGACATGGAGGGATGTCATCATATGATCTGATGGAAAACAGACAAAGCGAGAAAGATTCTCAACAGTATTGTGTCATGACATGGAGGGATGTCATCATATGATCTGATGGAAAACAGACAAAGCGAGAAAGATTCTCAACAGTATTATGTCATGACATGGAGGGATGTCATCATATGATCTGATGGAAAACAGACAAAGCGAGAAAGATTCTCAACAGTATTGTGTCATGACATGGAGGGATGTCATCATATGATCTGATGGAAAACAGACAACACGAGAAAGATTCTCAACAGTATTGTGTCATGACATGGAGGGATGTCATTATATGATCTGATGGAAAACAGACAACGCGAGAAAATTCTCAACAGTTTTGTGTCATGACATGGAGGGATGTCATTATATGATCTGAGGGAAAACAGACAACGCGAAAAGATTCTCAACAGTATTGTGTCATGACATGGAGGGATGTCATCATATGATCTGATGGAAAATAGACAACGCGAGAAGATTCTCAACAGTATTGTGTCATGACATGGAGGGTTGTCATCATATGATCTGATGGAAAACAGACAACGCGAGAAGATTCTCAACAGTATTGTGTCATGACATGGAGGGATGTCATCATATGATCTGATGGAAAACAGACAACACGAGAAAGATTCTCAACAGTATTGTGTCATGACATGGAGGGATGTCATCATATGATCTGATGGAAAACAGACAACGCGAGAAAGATTCTCAACAGTATTATGTCATGACATGGAGGGATGTCATCATATGATCTGATGGAAAACAGACAAAGCGAGAAAGATTCTCAACAGTATTATGTCATGACATGGAGGGATGTCATCATATGATCTGATGGAAAACAGACAAAGCGAGAAAGATTCTCAACAGTATTGTGTCATGACATGGAGGGATGTCATCATATGATCTGATGGAAAACAGACAAAGCGAGAAAGATTCTCAACAGTATTATGTCATGACATGGAGGGATGTCATTATATGATCTGATGGAAAACAGACAACGCGAGAAAATTCTCAACAGTTTTGTGTCATGACATGGAGGGATGTCATTATATGATCTGAGGGAAAACAGACAACGCGAAAAGATTCTCAACAGTATTGTGTCATGACATGGAGGGATGTCATCATATGATCTGATGGAAAATAGACAACGCGAGAAGATTCTCAACAGTATTGTGACATGACATGGAGGGATGTCATCATATGATCTGATGGAAAACAGACAACGCGAGAAGATTCTCAACAGTATTATGTCATGACATGGAGGGATGTCATCATATGATCTGATGGAAAACAGACAACGCGAGAAAGATTCTCAACAGTATTATGTCATGACATGGAGGGATGTCATCATATGATCTGATGGAAAACAGACAACGCGAGAAGATTCTCAACAGTATTGTGTCATGACATGGAAGGATGTCATCATATGATCTGATGGAAAACAGACAAAACGAGAAAGATTCTCAACAGTATTATGTCATGACATGGAGGGATGTCATCATATGATCAGATGGATGCTGTTAAGAATGGTGTAGTGCAGGGAGGCAGGATCGTCCAAGCCAGTCGACATGGCACCTGATGCCTGTTTCAGTCTTATTTTTCTGTCTGTGTCTGAAGTTTGAAGACAATATTTTAAAAACAGAATAACTTGTTGAAATATTGTGGCACAATACAGTTAAATAATATCAGCAAAAATAAAAAGGGATTTTGAGAAATTCGCAAAAAAAAAAACTGACAAACGCTTGGTTTTCACAAGTCATTTACCTAACGAGTTCCTGCTGCTTGTGAGTTCTCCTCAGCTGTCTGAATACTTTATCTTGCTCTTTTTATCTTCTTAACCAAATGTGGAAACACTGTGCCACAGCTCAGCCCTGACTAGTTTCCCCTTCATTTTATATAACAGCACTACTCACAGCTATTTCTGGCCTGTATCTTTCGACATTTACAGCGATTTGGCTATCCCAATTATTATTATTGTTTCTAATAAATAGGCGAAATAATTTTTCAAATAAGTTGATAAAAACTTTTAGGTTACCGTGTCAGACTTGGACATTGATAAAAGAACACAAAAGAAAACTAACCACCTCCGAGATGAGATGTTTGAGAATGGCTGTGAACAAAACCAGAAGGGATCGAATGAGAAACGACGTGATCACAAGAACTGTTGGAACAACACCTATTATCAAATTTACTAAGAAACAAAGAATAAAATGGTTTGGCCATCTAATGAGAATAATAAAACCAATGATGCCAGCAGCAAGAGACTGAAAATCAAAACACAAGAGGCAGGGGAAGACGGAGAAGAAGATGGATTGAAGGAGTCACTAACACCTTCAGACTGCATAAAATCACTGTATATGTATATCAAACAATCGAGTGTCTGATAAACTGTGACGCCTAGTGGCATAAGCAGATTTTGACCACACACAAAAAAAGAAGAGGATAAATAATTGAGTTATGACAGTTGGAATATTTTGCCTACATAATTATAAAAATTGACTCACTATGCCAAATAACAAAATTAATTGGAATTACTTTCAGATGGAATTTTACAGTAAGACCTGTATGTGCAGATTTGTCTATAAAAATAATTTTAATATAAATTGTTTATTGTACAAAATATCACGAACACCTTACTCAAAAACATTCTGGCCATGAACATATTCCTGAACAAATTTTGACTCGACCTGCAAATCAAACAATGCCTTGGCCCACGATCACACAAACGTGACTTTGGCGCCATTTGTTTTTGGCTAACAAACAGCTTCAGTTGTGCTTCGAAGTGTTTGTCACAGTGCTGCAAAAAAGCCTAAGCATGTTACAGCAGAAACGAAAAAAGAAATAACTAAACATGAGAATGGTGTTCATGTTTCCGATCTTGCTAATCAGTACGACATGATCTGTACTATCTTAGAGAATGGCTGGTGTGGCTGAAGGAATGACTACTTCAACAAAGCAAATGTCCGTAAGTGTTAGAATGTAGAATTAAGAATTGACATCTCTGTACATCCTTATAAGCGCTCCATCCCCATCTTCAGAAGCAAGCAAGTGTCAGGCGTTGGCCAAATCACCTGGCAACGTCACTCCCCTAAGACCATAATGATCTATCTGTGCCTCGTCACTGTTCACTCGCTCCCAAAGAGCCCTCACAATATCCAGCTTGTCATACATCTGTTCACCACCAAGTGGTGCAGAACTTGCCAGTATATCTGCCCGCTCATTTTCCAACACATCAGTATGATCTGGAGAAAATATCCAAAGGAAGCTAACTACCCGGGACATTTAAAGTGATGCTTGTCACTCTACACGGAGCATACCAGTCTCCACCTTTCTCAACATACCCTGTTGAGTCGGTTAAAATCATGGCATATGTGTATCTGTACGGCTGATTCTCAAGCCAGCGGAAGGCAGCTGAGACTTTCTCCATCTCCATTCTTAAACTAGACATTGTGATAGCATATGCAAGGCTTTGCTGCACAAGGCGCGTCCATTCGCCTTTGCTATGAACCCCCATCCTATGCACTTCGTCTGCCCATCAACACAGAACCATGTCAAAAGAAGTAGAACAATTATTATTAGCAACTCAGCCATCAATCCAACCACTTGCCAGGATACAAACAATAGAGAGATAAACTACCAGAAACACTTTTGCAATTGCCCAGCATTATTATGGAACAGAACTATCCTTAAATCTTCCTCCTCCTTATCTACACCACAAACTACTTGTATACTGTATATTTTGGCTATCCTCCAAATAACGGCCACAAAAACACCCTAACAGGGCTTCAGTCACATGTAAATTGCGGACTTCTGCTCTTGCAACTTCTGCTCCTGTCGAGAGTATCTCCCACGCC